TTGACCAAAACATTCACATTCAGATCCAGTGTAACAGAAACCCTATACTGTTACCACAGTGGTTTATACATGGACATAATGCTAAACTCACAAGATTTAGCATCTTAGAAAATTTTCCAAATTACATACAAAATGTGGTGGAAGAACAACAATACTCAATTCTAAAAGAATATCAAAAAGACAATCAAGAGATCGTTCTTCATTTTCTGCAGAACTAATACGTTATGCTTTACTACTGTACCATACATCTCAACAAACCTACAAATTACTTCTGGAGAAATTTCCACTACCATCTTTTTCTTTATTAGAGTAAATTTAAAAAAATTAATTAAACATTTTCAATGTGAAATGTGTTCCCTAGTCATGGTAGGCAATGATAGTGATGATGCTACAGAGAAACAGTACTTTGACTTTCTTGAGGAGATCTTACAGTTTCATCTAGCCAAATGGCAGAGTCATTTGCACTTGTTTTGCTATACTTGACTATACAGGTAAATTTATTGTAAAACATAATGATTCCACTACAAGAGAATCTGCTGAATGAATTTTGGAAACTTATTCTCCAAAATATATTTTTAACTTGTGAACAACACACTGAAAAAGGAATTAACTTTGCAGTAAAAATTGTTGTGAATATATTTTACAACAACAAATGAAAGTTTTCATCAGATGAAATTCAAAAAAATACTGTAGAAAGTTTTAAAAAAAAGGCAAAGGTCAAAAGAAAATTGGTTTATAGAGAAACTGTTGTTAATTTTTCTTATTTGTATTTATTTTGTATTACTGCTTAATTCTTTAATAACATTTTTTGTTTGTTTACAATCTTTTATTATTACTTTTCTGTTTAAAAAGCAAAAAAAAACAACCTGTTTGTGAATTTTGGGGCAGTTTAAACATGTTTTAGATAAAAACAGACATAAACTGACTATAAACCAAGTAGGCCTGTTAGAAATTAGCCTGAAATGTGACACATGAGGCTGTATATATTAATAGGCCATTGTTGGCCCAAGACTCATGAGCAAAATTGAGTAGATGAAAGTGTTCAGAAGTCATTGTTGGTTGTTGTAATGATATGTAAATGATTGCCTAATTAGAATAGCTAAGGCATAGACTATATAAATGCCCAAGCAATAAGGGTAGGGCAGATCTCAGTATGTGAGATAAATAACAACTGCTGGACTGATAAAATACAAAGGAAAGCACACTTCATAATAATTGTTTTAGCACAAAGTCATAAGTCATCATGACCAAAAGTATAAACATACCAGCTTAAGTCAACTACTGATCCTGCCAGATTATGCACTCTCCCCCAGAAACTGTAACTAAGGTCTGCTCAGTACAGTTGCAATATAAACCATTTGTTAGCTATTTGTTAGCTATGTGAGTGTTGAAAAAAAAAACATAAATGTACCTGAGCAAGTATCTGCAACAGGGATTAGCTAACCACTGTAGCTGAAAATGAACAGCTTGCCATATGTAAAGCTGGCACTATAATTGTACAATAGAAATTTTGTAATAGTACTTCTTAAAATTCATAAAAAAAATACTTACATGCACATATACACAGTACTTCTGAATAACATTATAGAAAAACCAAAATGGCCCATTTAATATCATTTATTGATTTTTAATTTTAATATATGTCTGACTTCTGAAAAATAATCTTGGCTTGCATAGAATGAATTGCAGCTTCTGATGTAGTAATAGTTAAGAAATGTATATAATTTCTATTTGACATACACAATTATCTTTTTATCTTTTTACAGCACATAAGAACTCTACAGAAGCTAAAAGATAAAGAAGCATATACTGACTTGAAAATACTGTATTTTCTGATATTGTTAGATTGCCGAAGAGTACATATGTTATTGTTATGTACATAAACAAGTAAATAACATTAACAAAGATATTCAATAATTGATTAAAAAAGATCGAAACAAAGTAAAGAAATGTAAACAAGTAGCCACACTTGAAGCAAAATAAGAAGAGACTTAAGTCTCTTAAGAAGAAGAAGAGACATATCATAAGTCTCTTCTTCTTCTCAATTACATAAGTGACTTTTATGCATTTGAGAAAAGAAATAAATGAAAAAGAAGTCGTTAAATAAGCAACATTTGCACTAGTTTCTTTTTTTGCTCATGCAGACTTTCACATATTCTCAAATGTGTTTAAGTTGAGATATAGTGCTGTACCCTGCATTGCCCTAAACAGGGACTTTGGTGTCTACCAACGTTAGTGTGACGGCGTTTTTATGGGTGGGTTAATTTTTTTGTACTGGATCCATATGTACTCATATAGAAACTCCACTTTAAACCCAACCTTATGTCACATCTTGTCACAAGAACGGGTGGGTAAATAAATAAGAATATCAACATTATGGTGATGTTTAGGTTCTTTTCCTCTTGAGTCTTCAAATATTGAAAATTATAATCAAAGTTCAAGGATACTTAGAAGTTAGTTTTTTTGTGTTTTTGCTTATGAACATAAATATACTTTAAAAATGGAGGCTTATTACACTAAATGAGAAATTAAAAGATATTTAAGAGTAAGACTAAGCCTTTAAGTCTTATACAAGGACACGAACATTATTATTGAGAGAGAAATTAAAAGTTTTGGATCTTGATATATTTTACAAAAATATAATTTTCTAAATTTAACCTAAAAAAAAAAATCTAAATTCATCCAGATAGTTCAGGGCTCTTTATTTCTCTCTAGAGAGTAAAAAAATAAACTGTTACAAGAGCATTCTACTGTTACAGATTAGTGCCCTAAGTGAATTTATTTTATAGCATATGGAATTTGTTAAAAACTTAAAATAGTTTTTAAAACATACATCTTGACATGCCATGCCGACTGCTCAACCTCCAGAGTTGGAAAACTGGAAATTCCAGGAAGCCTAACACTAACAAATAATACACCTTGGTCCTTGCTCAAACATGACCTGTTCAAACAGAGAATTTTACACCTACTTGAAGAGGCCAAAAGTCAGAAAATATGAAATGATCTGAGTGAGTGTGGGGAAAAAAAACAAATAAAAAACAACAACAAACAAACAGATCAAAATAAATCAGGAAGATTGATCAGTCAAGACTCAAGAGTTTTATTAGATTGGGAAATAATTAAAAAAAAGTGGGCAGCTTAGGGTCTTTTTTAAGTTAACCAATAAAAGGTTTTTACATCCAAATTCTTTTTTCATCATTTAAGAAGACCCAATATAAATCTACCTAAAGATTAAAAAAAAGGATCATAAGTTAAACTTTCTAGTAACAATTCTCTTATTTTAAGTTTTTACAAGTTAAAGAATTCTGAATTCCTAGTTCAAGTAAAAATGCTTTCATAAGAGATTGTGAAGGAAAACATTTTATTTAAAAATACATATAGTTGCTTAATGTTTATGATGATGTTTAAAGTTGCAAGAAATCACGTGTGCCTTACAGAAATCATAAAAAAATGAAACACTAGTGACAAAAAAAAAAAAAAAATCGAACAATTTTTGTCATTTTGCAGAGATTTTACAAGACTTATTTTACGGTACCCAAACAATGTTTGTTTTTTCATTTTTTTTTTACCACAATTTTAAAGCTGGTTAACTTAAGGAAAAATAAGTAATTTTAAAGTAAAACCCAAACACTCCTACTTGAAAAATAACTCCTGTAATCTTTATTTCTTTTAATTAAGCTGTAATTTATTTATTTAAATCAAATAAATACTGTAAATAAATGTGAAGTGACGTGTATCATTTTTGTAATTCAGTGTGAGCTCAGATAAGAAATACATTTCAAAACAATACGGAGGAAGCTTCTTGTGCGATATTTTCACAATCGCAAGTAAAACATTTCTAGTCTATTTTTTTTTCTTTTTAATTTTTAAACCAAATAAAATCAAATAGAAAAGTCGTCTAGATAACCCAGATAAACAATGAAGTACTAACCAATTCTAAGAGAGGAACTTTTTTTTTTCCTTCAGCAACAACAACACAACTGACAGTCAGTCAGACAACATTTCGTTTACATAACAGAAAAATCTCGATCACCTAATGCAATTTTTCTTTTTAAACTTCTTTACTTACAGGAATTTCAAGTTGTAATCCCCTAATTAACCGAATTATTTTTTATGGGGGGCGTGAGATTTCCCTGTAACTGTTATTTATCACCATCATCATTATTTTTAAATTTATTCATTAGAACAGAGAGAGACACATGGACATTTCTAGTCTAAAGAACTTACAACAGTGCACGATCATTATTCTTTTACGCTTTTTAGCTTAAATATTCACACATAGGGTTTAGAAAATGGTGTTTAACTTAAGTTTTCTGCAGAAGACAACTTTATCATTTTTAAAAAGTAACGTTTTTTGACAAGTGCGTTGTTCTGTGTAGTGTAACATGTGCATGAGAAAGCAAAAAAAAAAAAAAAAAAACCCCTAGTGATCGATAAAAGAATACAAATCGAAGAAAAATACAGATCATTAATTAAATAAAATTTAAAAAAGACATTATTCTGAAAGAAAAGAAAATTTAACTTTAACATTTAACAATCATTTGAAAAAGTCTCCTTATTCTTAGTCTTTTTCTTTGATGTGATCATGAATTAGACAAAAATTGCTTGGTTATTTCTTTAAAATCTGAAACTTTGTTCTGTATTCGCTTTAAGTTGAAAAATGAAAAAATATTTAAATCAAGACAAAAAAGGTTAAACTAAGAAGTTATTGTAACCTTTTTTGTTGCTTTAGTTAAAAAAAATTAAAAAATAAAGATTGAAAATTTTTTTTTTGTTTTTTACTGTTTTTGTTAAATGTAAAGTTTTTTGTAGCATGCTTATGGTAATAATCATCAATTGATTTAGCTTCTAATTCAGATTTCATTTCATTTTTTATTAAAATTTTAAAAATGAAGAAAAATAAATTCACCACAATAAAACCAAGAAGAGTGAATACCATGCAACAACAAGGGTAAAGGACGTTTTTAAAAGATTCTAAAATCAGAAATAACTATTTTTACCTCGTCTTTTGGAGTTTGGAGTGGCCTCTTCTTAAGTCTATCCCAGTTGAGAATGTTGCCACTGTGGACAAATAACGAAGTAGCATTGGGGAAAATAGGCAATTGTGTAGCCATCGTGTGTGTGTCAGAATATTTTGTTATATTGTTTAGTTCCGTCAAGACGATTGTATTTGTTCTTTAACTTTCTATCCTGTCCGTGCTAATAATAACACTTAAAAAAATTAAATATGCTTCACTTCAACACTAAGTACAACGTGAATGCAGTACAGAGTCAATCAAATCACTTTTTTGTGCAACTGGTAGCTTTCTTATCGCTTTTTTTGTTTGTTTCTTTTTCTTCCTTTCTTTCTATTAACGCTAACTACCTCTAACAATTGTAGCTGACTGATTAGCGTGGCTTCGTGGATGTGTCTGCCTTTTATGCTACTGCTGCACATATTCGGCAATATTCGGCTGTTTCCGTAGAGGCACTGTGGAGAGGTGAAAATAAAAGAAAAAGTAAAAAAAAAAAGAAGCTTTGTTGATGCGCTTTGATGTCTGGCTGTTGCTAGGAAACAAGAAAGGTATCAATTTCTTCGGCAATTTTCGTAAAACACCGGTAATGTGAGAGGCAAGGCAGATATAGTTCCTAAGAAACTAAAAAGAATTAATTCAAAATGGGCTGGATTTATTTTTGATAAAATAATGTATTTAAAGAGAAAAGCGTTTACTTTTTAAAAATTCATTTTAAGTTAAACTTTTCATTTAACAAACACTGACGATGGACCAGCAACAAAAAAAAAAAAAAAAAAAAAAAAAAAAATGACGTAATCTAAACAAACTAGCAGAAAGAAACAGAAAAATGCAAAAAAAAAAAAAAAATGAAAAGAAAAAGCCACAAAGAAAGATGCTGGTCAATTACTAAAAATTGTTAATGTTCCTAATGAGAAATGAGAAATCAGAAGTTGAAAGATTTCTATACCTACATCAGTAATTAATTTACACACTATCTAATTGTTTTTCTTATTCCAACTCCCCGCCTCTAAATAAGCTTATTGGGGGGGGGTAATAAGTAAAATAACCAGCGTATAAAGATTTCAAAGGCATGTAAACAAAATCCACACAAAAAGAGAATCAACAATTCAACATCTAGAGAAAAGCCGCCAAAAAAAGTTTAAAAAAATAAAATAAAATTAGAAATTTGCGGACGTAGTAGAAAACGGATCATAAACAGATATATATTTTTTTTTAAACGAATCACTGTTTGAGTAAAAATTCAAAATACTTTGTTGGAAAACATAAATACGAGAACATTAAAAACAGTGAATCAACTCATCAATGCCTGCTCGTCTACACAAATCTACAACAAGCAACTTTCATTCTCCAGAGGTAAGTGAACTGAAGCGGCTAGAGATTAAAAGACTCACAAACAGCTGTAACTACATGTGCCAGCCTCTCTAAATTAATATAATTACATTTTCTTTCCTCTTGTAAACCGCTAGTAATAGCATTTACTAAAATCTATGAGCTTTAAAAAACTTGTCTATTTCAACGTACATTTCTAAAAAAAAAACTGTTTACGATGAAACGATACATCCACATAAAATAAGCTTACACCTTTACATACAAAAACTTTGTTTAAAAATGTAAACCGATTGTAATTTTGAATTTTACGACAATGGCAAATTAATTTATTATATTAATTATAATTATGATGATTTACCAATGCTACTATGAATTATGTGATTATAAGGGCTGAACGGGTGAAATATTTAGCAATGGACATAAACACACACATACACACACACACACACACATATACATATGTATATATATGTTTGTATATAAGAATAAACGGAAAAAACCCTAAATAACATGCTTCATCCCTAGAAGGAACTTCTTCAGCTCAATAATGGTTTTATTGATGGAGTCATTCTTATATACAGGGCCAGTGAATATTGCCCCACAGCAGTTCTTTGAGACACTTGCTATTTTATCAACATTTGCTTTTTTTTTCTACCTATATTTATATATGTTTACATATTAAACTAAGCACAACTGACTATTAAAGGGTGAAAAATTTTCACATATTTTGATGTCATTTTGGGGTCATCTTTTTTTTTTATCCAAATCTAGTTTTGCTCTTGCTAAATCTCAAAAAACACGGAATACAAAATTCACTACTTTTTATCGGTATGCTGAATGTGTTAAATTTATTCAACTTTTTAACAAGAAAAATCACAAGTTGATGTTAGAAATTGCTGCAATACATTGTTGATTTATTTAAGAAAGAATGATCTATTATGACATGTCTCTAATTTGTATTTAAATACATTGTATTTATTTTCAATTTTCTGGTTGAATTGTTCACCTATATTGCATGTGATCCATTATTGTACCTAAGTAGGTTGCAATAAAATTTGCATCTTATATATGAATACTACCTTATGAAGATTGAGATGAGGAGTCCTGTATCATAGATTCAGGAGGTAGGAACATACATTAGAGGGTGCACAAGACCCTTGCATTTATATCTATAAGATTGGGTGAAAAAATGCCAGTTACAATTTTACATCAAACACAATATCTTTATCTAAGGACAAAATCCATTTTGTCATTCAGTTATTGTTTATTAGTCTGATATATATATATATATATATATATATATATATATATATATATATGGGGTTGTTATTTTTTTTGTTTTGCTACTGCTTACACAGTAGACAGGGATGAACTCAGCAAGGCCTTGCAGTTAAGAAAGACTTGCTTGTCTTTTTGTGTGTTGTAATTAAACACACATGACACACTGAGAAAGTTATATTGGGTACACTACAAGGACACAAGTCCTTTAGGTTAACTGCAATGGAAATTTTAAAAAGGTTATTCAGAATACCACGCATCTCATTAACAACAATAAATAAATACTTTGCTCAGATTTTACACATTTTTTGCAGTAGATATTCTAAAAATGACAAATGATGGTAATTTTTAGTTAGTAACTTAATTTTATGAGTAAATTTTCAGTTATGATAGTATTTCTAGATATTTGTTTTTTAAAATTCCATGCCATTCAGGATGTAGGCAATCATGGCTCTCCACAGATTCTGTTTTTTTTATCTGTATGTTGCCATGAAGTATTGGGAAAGATGGGGGAGATTTCCCATCTATGATTTTGAATTCAGTGTTCTCCTCCTCCTAGAATAGAGCAATTAGCTGCTCATAGTTCAATCATTATTTTTGTGGCAAATGTTCAGATTAGCTACATTCTTTAGTTCCACCAATTCAGAACATCACAGCTCAGACCCATCATGCCACATACATAGGGTCAAATCATTCCCTTTCTATTCCATTGGTAAGGAGAAAATTCAACTTAGTTAGCTTCTTCCCCAGACAGTGTGGAACAGACTCCCGAGAGGATGCTTACCCAATCACTACAATTTTAATCTCTTCAAGTCCAGCGTCAACCATTTCTTATTCTACATATTCTAACTTCTGCACTTCTTACCTTCTTCTCTTTACACACTTCTTACCTTCTTCTCTTTACACACTTACAACAACCTCATTCAGTAATACTCTACTTTGAGTGGCTCTTGGGTCTTGTATTAGGTAAACAATAGTATTAAAAGAAATAAAGTCTAGTTTATTCTGCTATTTAACGTATAGCTGGCAGGGAGCAAGTACATTTGTGCAAAAGTGAGCATAACAGACTAGGATGAAATTTGAACTCTATTTGTTGATTCCATTTTTGGTACCAATAATCATTACACCACCCACACATTCTATTAGCATTTGTTTATTTTTTTCCAAAAACTGCCTAAACAGTAAAGTACATTAGTCAAAGAGAAAGCATCAATAAATAATTCTCTGGTATTTGTCTATATTTCTGAGATGAGGTATTATGTACACTATTTACATTATTCAGACTATTGTCCTCATCTTTGTCGCCATATTTATTACAACGTTTTGGCTGTTGTATGCTCCGACCTTCTTCAGGTGGTTGGAATGTCAAACTGAACCCTTTATTTCACTCACTGGGGTAGACGGTTCTAGTTCCACATGCCATGTTTAATGGATGTCAATTATCAGTTATCTCCTGTTAATTCCCCTCTGAAAGTTCTCCACTGCCTTAACCAGGTATTAAACTCACACTCTTTGGTCCTGTCACTTGAGGACACATGGCACTGTAGATAAAGGTGTTAGTTAGATCCAGTGACAGGACCCAAAGAGTGTGAGTTCAGTGTTGATACTCCTGCCACTGTTTAACCCTTAAATGGGGGGAAAAACATTGCATGAATGTCCACACCAAATGGGTCATAATGGGGGGGGGGCAAAAGGTGGTATGAATTATGAAAATCAGTGTTGATACTCCTGTCACTGTTTAACGTTTAAATGCGGGGAGAGGTTACATGAATGTACATACCAAATGAGTAAAAATTAACAAAATAAGTATTGATACTTTTGCTGCTATTTAATCCTTAAATGAAGGGGAAAGGTGTGCATACCAAATGATTAAAAAGAGTAGTTTTATGTTTATTTTCACTTGAATTAAACTATAAAAATGATATTTTAATTCTTTTGTATTAGAAAAGTAAATAAGAAAGGAACATAGAACAAATGTTAAGTTCCTAAATTTAATCGTTTTTAAACGTTTCAGAGTCCTTGAAGCATTCCATGCACAATGGAGCTACACATTCTTCACACCAAGTTGTCACCATTTTTCACCTTTTCTCCTCAAGAAGTTTGCACACAGATATAGCACTGTTTTTGGCTTGTTCTTTCAGCTTTCTTTGCAAACAAATACTCCAGAAAATGATGTAACCTCATGAATCCTAGATTTGCTAATTGGTCTTTTAGACTCAAATCAGGAATGAATGATGCCTGTAACTTGATGATATCTGTTGATCTTATAGGGGAGTTATAACTGAGTAAATAATTATAACATTTATATATACAAAAATACTCATAAAAATGAGAAGCAGCAAGACATGGAAACAACAAAGCAAGTATTATTTATTATCTGGTTATTATGTGGTGTTGGAGAAATGAGAGACGGTAATACTGAGGAAAATTATGTATTTGGGGTCAAATGTACATCAAATATGGATCAGGATCTGATAGAATGAAAAGATAAA